AGGCCAGAAGGGCGCCGAACAGTCGAGGGATGCACGGTTGACAGAGACATAAGGGCGCGAGACTTTCAGGAGGGCGCCGTTAGACGATAAGAAGGGCGCAGTCCTGTCAAAAGGGCGCCATTCTCCCAGAAGGGCGCTGAGTGATTAAAAACGTTATATCATCCATGCGGACGGTCAGGAGGACGCCGTTAGAGCATGCGAAGGGCGACGTGCTCTGGAAAGAGCGCTTGTAAAAGAAGACTTGTGGGTGTATTTTCATCATTGTAAGGGGGGGGGGGCATATTTTTGGATTGTTGGTGCATCTGCCCCCACAAAGAGATATAAAATTACACCCCTGCATGTTGATGTCCCGTCCCGTCGTTCCCGGTGTCCTGCCTCTGCCAAATCCGGAATCCCGTAGTTCGTACCCGCGTGCCATGGCTGCCCGTTCTGCTTCTCAACGTTGTCCCCAATGCCGTGTTTGGCGTTCAGTGCCAGCGTCGCTGCTCTGCGACTATTTCTGACGAAATTTTGAGCACAAAAAAACGAAGCTCCTCCATGGAGAACTTCACCTGACCTCACTGATGTCACCGATTGGACTCTGACGCCAAAAATCAGCCGGGTACCTATAACAGTCGCAGCGTCTCATAACGTTGCACCTCCCCGTTTTTCCCACGATCTAGATCTACCTAGTGACGAAACGGCGAGGGGAGGCCGGCCGGCCATCCGTCCCCTCAATTTGATACGACGAGCGTTAACCTTCGCTCTTAGGAGGAGCGGTGAATGAAACTGAAATGCGGAAAATGGAATGTGGTAACATGAGATTACCTAACGTAGGTATATAGGGTAAGGTGCCTAATTAGCGACCCTTTCTTATTTGCGACCTACCTCTCTTCAGAAAAGCTGGCAGGAGAAATCGGGGTAAGGTCAAAAGGTAACAATGTCAAAAGGTCTGTCATACTTCGGTAGTGAAATAACCTGAGCACGAGAAATTATGCAATTATATTCATCGGATGTCAGCAACTGTTCGGCCATGAAAAGTCTCGCGGGACTTAGCGGTAGGCTTTGCACCTATAGACAATTTAGTGTTCGGCTTTATCTTCGTCGTATTAAGCTTTGAAGTGTTGAAGATGCGATCGATTTGTTGGTGCACAAGCCGGCCATGATCGTATAAAATGGCTTCAACGTAGATGCGGCCCTGGTGGCCCTGGTGGCGCAGTCGGTTAAGGCGTCGACCCGCGGTGCGGGCGGTGCCGGATTCGGGTTCGATTCCCGGTTCCGCCCGTTCCGCGGGCGTCGTCCCCGGCTGTGTCACCAGGTGTGGGGTAGGCTCCCACTTCAGCCGTAGCCTGGGGGGTGGGGGAACAAGGGCCAGGAGGAGGAGGAGCCCTCCTGTAAATGGGCCACAAGTGCCCGTTGGAGAGAGGCTTGAATAAAAAAAAGATCGATTAGTTTCTGAGATATAACCGGAAATGTAAAAGTGCAAATCCTACCGCTTAACCCGCGCCCTGGTGGGGTCTGTTTATAACGCGACCTGGTGGGGGGGGGGGGGCTATTTTTTGCCCCCCCCCCCCCCTCGTATCTCCGAAACTACTGGACGGATCCGAAAAATTCAAACGGCGTTCGAAAGGCCTGTCAAATTTGTCGAAGGAAACCAAATTTTATTGACCTCGGGGTCACCGATGACGTCACAGGTCAGGTCAAAGATGAAATGTTTCACCGTTCACGGGTCTTCTAGGGAATGCGCTATAACACCGAGGAAAACGCATTTTGTCGGGAATCAGCGATAGGGCGTCAGTTGCCTAGTAGATATGTTGCTGTTAGAGGTCACTGGTCATACCAGGTCAGGTCACAGGTCAGGTCACCAAAGGTCACCAAGGGTCACCACATGAACCCAACTTTACTAAGGTTATGCGATGCATGTTTTATGGCCAGTTTTTCATTTCCAACTCAATGGTGTTGGTTATAAGACCATCAGGTACGGTTTAGGTCACTTTCTGGTGGAGGTCAGGTCAAGGTCAGGTCAAAAAAGGTCAAATTTCAAAGTTGATATTTTTGCGTAAAATGGGTATTGATTCGATGCAGCTCGTCACGGGGAGTCTAATGGTGGTCTTTGTTTTGCGCTACGAGGTCTAGAATTGCTGAAAATTGAGTTTGAAAATTTGACGTCATCAATTTTGAACAGTTTTTTCGCTATAACTTGGCCAAAAAAAGAGGTATCGATCTCAAATTTGGTATTTAGATAGAAGGCGGTAAGGACTATCACATATATTCCGGTTTTTGCGAAATTCAAAAAAACTTTTTGGATTTTCTGGCTATTATATTTAAAAAATCTATTTTTTGATTTTTAGGGGTCAAAATCCAAAAATTTCAAAAATCCGAGATAGCAGTTTTGTAGCCCTGTCTATTCTACAGCTTTTATGTTTGTATCATTTTTCTGTATTTGCAAAGCTATAGGCCTGACAGCTCTTCCCGCGAAACCCTTTTTTGGGTCGAAAACGGCAGAACATGACGTCACTCTGACGTCATTTTCGGCCAACCTATCATAGCCTTTGGAAAAATTTTTGGTCACAATATGTAAAATTGATGTCCGGGAGGGTACTGAAAGTTTGGTGACGATCGGCGCAGTGGTTCTGGAGATATATTGAAAAGTCTGGAGGGGGGGCAAAAAATAACCCCCCCACCAGGTCGCGGGTTAATCTCGCGAGAGCCGTACCTAAATACCGGCGCATAACTTCCCGGACTCGGCTCTTAATTATGAACACTAAGCATGCAGTGCAGTTGAGTGTCTATCATATCCGTCTCACAGCTGCCTATGAATGTGCGTCTGCGCCCGACAGACGGAGTAGTTATGTGTCGGTGTTGGTTGCATGGCAGCTGACATGCCATTGTCCCTCGCTTTGTCTGGAATGCTGGATGACTGTTTGGGAGTCCAGGCAACAGGCAAAACTGCTCGGGTTTGTCTTGTCCGGCGATCTGCTACGCATTATCCATCATCATTCGTGCAGATTTTCCTCCTGGGCGGGGCAGACGACAGGGCTTCCATTGGATATGGATTAACTTGCAACTTGCAGCTGTGGGCTGTGGCCTGGCCCGCACCCGAGGATTGTCGACAACTGCTCAGGCGTTCGGCAAATGGAAGCAAGTTAGATCCCTACTTAAATATTTTTGCAGAATGCTTTCAGAACTTTCAAGGGAACAGATCTCACTTTAAGTTATCTTTTTATCAATCAATCAGTCAATTAAGTATTATTGTAGACACAATTTCTAACGCATGCAATGTGGAGGTGGGGAATTTAAAGTTATGTTTGATCTTCGCCGAACCTAGAGATCAGTTTTCCCTGAGAGAGGGGGACGGGGTGAGGACTCTCCGGCCGTTTATCTGAACTAAAATGAACTAGAATTGAACTACACGCTTGAAATAGTCGTTTGCGATATTACGAGACGTAATGATTGAGGTTTTTCTTGTGAACATTTTCGTAAAAAGGTAAAAAAACGTGATTTTTGCCCACCGTGTTTTTCATGATCCACTAGCGCTTTAATTAAATACCATATTTTTGGAAAAGGTCAAATAAGGATGTTGCCCTCAGGTCGAGGTCAGGTTACGGTCTGTCAAGTCAAGTCACGAAGCTGGTTGAAAGAGGTTATACCTACATATCGCATATACTTCTTTAGTCCATTTGGTTGTTTCTCGATTCGTTATATCAATTCGATCGGGAATTATTGACATAAAAACACCGATGGCCCCATTGACGTCATGCCTACATAACGTCGAGCAAGGCGAGCAATGCAAAAGCGAAGCATCATCCAATCTTGCATGAAGTGTATAAAATAACGTTTAGGTACATGAGCCTGAAATAGTCATTTATAACTTTCGGCGATACTAAATACCTAACAATTGTAAATGATGTCATGGTTCAATAAACTGACCTGACTTGAAAATGCACTTGATGAATAAAAAACAGCCAAAAGCAAAGATCAAGTATTCCTACTTTACGCTCTCTATACGGCTCGCACAAAATCCTGAAAAAAAAAATCGTCAGAGGGATCATGGCACCCCCCCCCCCCACCCCACCACCACCAACCGAACAAGGTTTAAGTGGCAATCGGTCTAATCGCATGCAATGCCTCATGACTGACACTTGACAACAATAACAAGTTACGCCTTGAATTTTGCTAACACGCATTGTTACGGTTGGTAGTTTCCCCCAGCTGTCACATTGCACGGATCAGAGACCGCTGATAAGTATCGCTTTCATAACTGACACCTCCGACAGTTTCCAATTCCAAAGCATTTCTACGCTGACCCGTTCCGGGTTTTGAAACTCGTCCTATAAATTCGTTATCTCAAGTTAGGCACATATCCGTAAACCGTTATGTAATGTGTCGGCACGTGCCATGATATTTATTACTTCACAGTCGGGACTCGGGTCGAGATCGAAAGAATGGGTTGGCTTGTAGTTCACCTCTTGGACTTTTGGTCCGCTGCATGTCCTTCTGAACAGGTATGAGTAATTAAATCGAGGCTGTTACGCCAGTAGGATCCCGTACTGTTGTTCCTACTTACCGCACGGCGCATATTAGTGATGTCAGTTGTCTACAGAAAATCAGGATACCGATACCAAACCAAAACAAAAAACAAAATGGGAAAATACCGGAACCAAACCAACTTGGGAATATGAGGGAAACCCCAACTTTTTACCAAATTATCAACCTCTTATACATTAGTGAGGATTCATATTATAACACCAACAAAATACCAAAAGCATTAGAATTGAAATACCAAATACCAATTTGGAATCGGCTGGTATCGGTATACCAAAAAGCTGGTATCCGATCGACATCTCTAGCGCACATATTCCCGTAGCTCCATCGGCACTGCTGGAATGCGGCACAGGAAAGACGATCGCACCGTTGTTAACTGCTACTGGAACTATTTTACCTTCTGGGAGACACGTCACAGCCGTGCCCAGCCCCGTGCTGCGCTCGCTCCCCCCCCCCCTCCCCACCCCGGTGTGTAGATACAGGAAGCTACAGGACAGTGTTGCAGTAATGCAGTCGTGCACCGGTATAAATGTGGGCTGCACTGGAGCACCAACGCACATTGGTCCAGGACACCGTCGTGACTTAGGCTCTGAGAGCTGGTCAGGGGACAGACAGTCACACAAACATGAAGGTGAGGTGGCCGGTCGTGGGGCAGAGCTGGTTAGTGATTTCAAAAACAAACGATTCTTAAAACAGACGTCGCTAGATTTTATAATTTGCTTATTTGTTCCTTGTTTAGGCATTGCTTGAGCCTTGATGAGGCTTAAATTTGAGGAGGCCTTCCGAGAAAAAATGTCGTCGCGGGTATTGATCACTTTGGTTCATAGGTACGAAGCTCTGGCTCAAATTGTGGCAAGTACCTAACGTTCGAGCTTTGCCCACCGTCAAATATTCAGGGCGTGGGCGCAATGCGTACCCTTATTAATTATTCATCGCTGTTGTTGCCAGGAACTTTCTTTACCGAGCAGTTTCACATCAACTTGATTGGCAGAAGTGCATTTTGTCCATTTGCCGTGCTTTGATGAGCTGTCAGCCAAATGCATGCACTGAACAGCCAATAGAGACTGTTAGAACCGATGTGTGCTTGGATGAAATGATACCGGCACTCCTCGCCAAACGATCATGTGGTGCTGCTCAACTGATGCAGAGGAAACATGCTACTGTTAGTCGTATAAATGCAAGAAAGAACGGAGTTAAGAGGGCGCTCAGTCATTTCTTGTGCGTTTGGATCACTGCAAAATGCAGACTAGACCGGAATTTCCCGTTCGTTTTGGGACTTGGTAGGTATAACGAAGAGACAGACATGGTCCTGGCGATTGGTGCAGTGCTCGATTTAGGCTCGAAGTTGTCATACCGTTTACGCTTGGTGGCCAGTGGACGTAGAAACAAGCCTTATAATTTGGGACATCTTGTGCTGGAAGTTAATTGTAAGCTTGCATTACTCAGTGCAAAAGAAAGCATCGACTCCTGCTATCCCCTCATCCATCAAAGACTGACACATTTGACTGTCTTTCTCCCCAGGCGGTGATTCTCCTGTGTCTGGCGGCGCTGGCGCTCGCCGACGACCCCGTCTCCACGCCCGTCGTCAACAGCGTCGGCTACGGCGTGCCGTACCCGGTGCCGTACCCGGTGCCGTACCCGCGGCCGTACTACCGGCGGTACTACCCGCGCGGACAGGCGTACTACAACTACAACGTCCACTACCCCTACTACGGAGCGCAGCAGGTAAACACGGCTATTTAACATTATTTTCGAAACAATATAGTTACTGATATAGCAACGCTTGTTGCTTTTTCGTTTATCCAGTCACGACGATTTATTTCAAGGATGCAAATCATTCTTCTAAAACCAGCAACAATCAAGAGGGTGAAGCAATCTTTGGCAATTCATTTAACTAAGGTTTCTGTGTCACACCTCATCCCTGCATTGGTCCTCAGCAGGTGCCACCTTTCGTAGCATCACTTCAGACTGATTCGACATGCGTAAAACACACGGATATGCAATGTGATATATCGTTTTAAGTCCACTTCCAATCGTGAGCACTCAATCTCTAACCTTTGACCTGACCCTTGACCCTTTGACCTTTCCTCAGGGTAAGGAGGAGCTGATTGACTACTACGGCACCCGCGGATCGTACTACGTCAACGAGCCCTTCAGCAACAGCTACGTCTCCTACAACTACCGAAGCTAGACGGTCAAAGACTGCTTCACCGAACAGATAAATCGCCACCAGATATTTCATGAAGCCAACGTCATGAGCGCCATCAGCATTGGAGACTGGCGCTGAAAGCTAGTTATTTATTCGTTGACCTACTCGTCTGAACTAGTGAATGGTATAAGAATTGAACTGTGCTGCTCAATGACAACGGTAGTTCTCTTTTGCAGTTGCTGGAATAATTGCATATTCGAAAAGATATATTTTTGACCGGTGTGAAGTTGTTCCGTGTTAAAAAACTTGACGAGATATTGTAATTGATTTTCGTGCAAATATAAGTAACAAATTCTCCACATGTCACGATATTTCACGCGGTGACCAGCGACACAAAACTTTTTCAAAAGTTTCGAAGGTTTAAATTTCAAGGTTACCTATCATGGTGAGCCCCTACGATTTCCGCTTCAGTTAGTATTTGGACATATTAGCCGTTTTCACGACGGCCATCTGGTACACATTTGGTGCACATTTGGTGCAGATTAGGTGCGAATTCGGTCAAATTAGGTTCAGTATATCTTTTAGTAGCTATCAGCTAGGGTTGCACTAATTGCTTATATGTCTGCTTTTTCATATTATCAGAGAGTATCATCGTTTAAAACACTGAAATAAATTCATGAAATGATGATATTTGCTGTAAAAGAGATTAGGTGCAGATTTGGTCAAATTAGGTGCACTCACCGGATAGCCCGTCGTGAAAACGGCTAATAAATCCTCGTCGGTAAGACTATCGTAAAAGGGGCTCGGCCTGATGGTCTATACCATTAACCCGCGCATGACTGGGGGTGGGGGGCTTTACAGAGACCCCCTCCCGTTTTTCGGCAATATCATCTAAACCGTTTCACAGATCAACACAAAACTTGCAGTACGCTCAGCGGCATCAATTTGACACCTTGTGTTAAAATTTCAACTTTCTAGCTACTATTGTTTGGCCGTAAATGACGTCAGAGTGACGTCATGTCGGCCGATTTTGATGCAAAATTTTGAATTACGGCAAACGCTCTCAAAAACTTAGTTTTAAAGCTAGATCCAATTTCTTTGCATCAGTGGACTACAAATACACGTAGCTATCAAACTGCTATCTCGAATTTTCGAAATTTTGAAAATGTTGAAAAATATTTTTTTACAAAATTACAAAAAAAAATACATTTTCTGATGTTTTCAAAAAGTATGGTGGTGTGGGGTAATTTGAATATATTTTTACGTCTTCTCCGTTGTACCAAATTCCAGCTCAACCCTGGATGAAGAAAAACTGCTTCAGTAGCGCAAGTGTCGCTTGCTTTCACCGTGCAAGCCTCATTTTTGGACGAGCCGAGCATACCTTGAATAGCATAGCCTCACTTCTTCACCAAGTCACGGTGTGTTCAAATTGCCCCACCGTGGGGTAATTTGAACATACTGTCTTTACCTGTCATAAAAACGATAGTCTCGCCAGCACCGATGTTGTTTGACACATAAACAAATAGGCAGAACAATTCTAAACATACCTTCACTTGAAAAATCAACACAACAACAAAAATAACAGTTGCAGAGTATCAATATCTGCACGCTGCACACCGGTCAGTTGACAGAATTCGCCTCTCTTCAATTAACAGAACGTCTATCACTTTTGCTCGATAAAAACTTTCCCAACCTTACTGCATCTGTTATAGTGGTGCCAATCGAAACCTGGACATTTGGAGTTCTGATTCTGTCCAATAGCCGATTCGGAATTGGTTGGACAAAGGTAGCAGACTGAACAACATTGGACGATGGCTTGCTACACTTCAGCGCTTTTTATAAAGTAATCGTGCATAGCATTGATTGGCGAATGGAAAGCTTGTTAAGCTCTCAATATATTGAACACTTTTCTGCTGGTAAAATTACATTATGAGCAGTTTAAACGACAGTTTTGAGTGTTGATTTATGCGTAATTTTCGGACATATTTGGACAAATGGCTGACTTTAACATTTTTGAACGGAAATCAACAAAAATGCCGGACATTAGACGGATATTAGACGTAAGTTTTATAAAACTGGCATCACTAATCTGCTACTGCTTTGGGTCGAAAATATTGGCAAAAAAAAAACTGGGAGCGTTGTTTTTCGGAGCTATCCCTGTCTTCACTGAAATTCTCACACTATGTTCCAATCAGGGTACCTATATTGAATTAGGGTTCAAATTACCCCACGCTAAAAGTTATTTTGCCATATTTAAAAACAGGTTTCAAAAGCAAATTTCTTGGATTGAAGGCACTGATTAGGTCATTGTACAACAAAAGCCGTTGCGTATTAGCCGCTAGCAATGCAAGATTGTGCGCTGCAATGAAGTTGCAATGACGTGTTTTTAGGCGTTTTTACTTGCGAAATTGATTTTTTTACAGTGTGCGTCAACATCTTCATTCCCTGAAACTGTAAACCCCGTTCATATGATAGCCCTTTTAGCTACGATAGTTTCCCTCATTTGTCTTATTGTCATGCCACTTATGGATTTTCCGTAATTTTGTGTTTTCACACTATGTTCAAATTGCCCCACATGTTTAAATTACCCCACCCTACCCTATTTGATTTTTCGCAACAACCGGAATAAATGTGATAGAACACAGACTGATAAACTAATCCAGCAAGTTTAAGCCCAATATCCTAAAAAGGCCAAGTCATTTTCATCATTGTCAAAATTTTACAATTATATATTTTTCAAAACCATTTATTAGTACGTTTTTTGACATCATACAGCAATATAAATGGAACCATCGTGTTCCTGAGCTGAAACTGCATCGGATAGGCACCTTTTTTTTGTTGAAGAATTTCATTTTCAAAATTTGACCTTTTCTGACCTCAAATTAACCTGGCTTCCGGTAAATTCAGCTGAAAATGACCTTAAATGACACAGACGACATTATTGTCGAAATCTACGTGTAAAATGGACCATAAAACATGCGTCACGTGACCGATACATGATATACAATTTTCGTGACCTAGGATGACCTGGCCTTGACCTGAAAAATAAGAAGTAAAAGTTTGGTACCCTCAGGGCATCTAATGCATATATCAAGGAGTGCGTAAGCCAAAAATGAGCCTGATCAGACTTGTCAGCCGGCGGCCAGAGCCTAAATTGTAAACAAGCAAAAATGCCGATAATTTTTACTTTGACCTGACCTGTGACGTTGTCGGTGACCTCGAAGTCAATGAAAATAGGTTTCGTTCAACAGTTTTTCCAGGGCTATCAGACGCCGTTTGAACTTTGACGATCGACCCAGTAGTTTCAGAGATAGGAGGGGGCTCTGGAGAGCCCCCCCCCCCCCTTCAGTCACTCGCGTTATGGAAAATACCCCAGTCATGCGCGGGTTATTGTGAGGTCACACGACCAGCCTGACCTCAGATGAAGGTTATAAAAAGTCCGAGTAAAGGAATACGAGTCTTTGTGGAGTGACTATCCGTAAGTTCAATCTCCCCGCGAAAGATTCCCTGGCATTATAGGAGTGTTGCGAAGTTGGGCCTTTTTGTGACCGTATAGATTGCAGAGGTTTGTTTATGGCGTTATAGGCCAGTGACCTGACACCTGACAGGACCTAAAAATGCGATGGATGTCACAATATCGAGCTTGAATTAGAGGTCATGTACCTACGCCAATTTTCAGCCCCTTTATCAACAACTCGTTTTGAGCAATAGCGAGAAAACGTCTGTAAATGTCCCCTCCCCACGCTGGAAATGTTAAAAATAATTTTGGCATCATGGCTTAATTGATTTGACTTTTAATCATTTGCTCTGTTCAAAGTAAAAGATACACATCTTTTTCATATGGATGCTGCTACTATTAAATATTGCTCCTTGTTTTCGATTAAGCTGATGAAATTGTTACTATGAAAAGTACCTAATAGAAATTAGTCGATATTGTTGCATGGACCTAAACGTTCACCGCTCAGATGTCTAGGCATTTATGCTGAATAGTGTGCCTACTGGCTGATCCCTGGAGAATTCAGGCTACAGCATAGGTAGGTACTTCAATTAGATATGCACACACGAACACTCGCGCACGCACGCAACGCACACACACATGTGGTCTGATTGAATGAACCCTTCGTTCCCAATTCACAGCTGATAACAGTACAAACATACGCCAATTGTTAGTGCTTAGTTATGAATAACAAATTAAATAATGATAGATATGCTGAACAGCCACTACCAAGCGTGCGCCGCTGCGCACCGTAGACCGCATGTGACATCGAAAACACGAAACTTGTAATGTCTCTTATTTCCCTGTGGGTTAGGCTGGCAAACTTCTTTCGTTTGCTAATTCACTGCCAGTCCTTGGAGGTTCCACACAGTTCCGTCGATGTCGCAAATCAAACTAAAGGCCTCACAACACGTCGCTACTGAAGCGTATAAAGGATCACACCGACCAGCCGCGGCGTCTAGTCACACTGAAAAGCAGCTACGGGCGACTACGTACAGGACAAGCTTGGCCTACAGTTTTGGGATATTTTTTTTAATTCTAAGAAGTACTGAAGGACGTTAAAAAGTTTCCGACTGCCGTTTCTGATAGTTTTAGTGAGGCTCCAAGGAGTCTAGTGGGGTCCTGTATTATTTTAGTCATCTAGCTCTGTAGACGGATCGACACCAAGACAGCTTGTGAGACGGAAAGACGGATTGAGTGTTACAAGATCATGAAGCACGCGAGGAGTCTGGTCAGGGTAGCTATTCTCTTCAGCACGCTGCTAAGCCTGGCGCTGCTGGCTGAAGCCTGTCTAGAGACGGCCTGGAGCGAGGGATACTTGGGCGTCAACAACACCATCGAAACGGTCGTCCTCTCCTCCAGCAGCGGCTCCGGCTGCTCCTGCTGTGCTCTCTGCCACCAGAGCCCGGCCTGCGCCAGCCTCAGCTTCAGCCCTGCGACCGGAGAGTGTCGACTGCACAGCACAGTCGCCGGATACGACACCCTGACTCCGAGTAGCAGCTGGAAGTACTTTGTGATCCCGGGCCGCTCACAGCACCACCAGTTCTGTCGGCAGGACTCGGACTGTCTGGTGAAGGGCGACTTCTGTCGGGGCCGCGTCTGCACCAATCTGGACATCGTCACCTGCCGCACGATCTACGAAAACTTCCAGGCCGAGGGCAAGTTCGGTGAATGGGCTCTGATGTACGGATGGATTTCTAAAAGGACTTATCAGCTATCGTGCACCATGAGACAAGGAAGTCCGGGATTTACACGGATCTTCAGAAGCGGTAATGGACTCGTGTTCAGCCCAGCAAATGTCAAAAACTACCACTCGGAGGCGCCGACACAGGACGCATACTCAATCCTCTTCCTCGCCGAAGAGATCCGCCTCTCGGGGAAGGAACCCACCTACCAAATGATTTTCTGGAGTAAGACTCTGTCCGTGCGTTTCAGCAACATCCCCCGCTCCGAGCCTGCGGTGGCCACTTCCCCTCGTGACAGTCCCCAAGGCACCATCACCAAGAACCTCGCCGACTCGGACCTGAAGGGGGTAGCGCTGCCGTACCTGTCTCCGACCGCGCGCGCCGAGCCTGGCTACGACCTGCTGGTGTCACGGGTCACCACCTCGTCGCCCTGGGGCGAGGTTCGCTCGCTGGCGCGAACAGACGGCCAGTTGTGGGGCGGGCGCCTGCAGGGGCTCAGTGTCCTTATCAGGGAGTAGCGCTAGCTGATACCAAAGGGTGCATAAGATGTCCCTGGGTGTAGCGTAGCCTCTGGTTTAGCAGGGTGTTGGTGTGCTGACTCTGTCTGTGTGAACGTCGGTTGGCTGTGGCCTATGCTGCTGTTCTTGATTAAATCTGTTCGGGTGGTTTGTATAGGTTCTCATCTAGTTAAAGGTTATTCCCACGATTTGATCACGATGTTCAAGCTTCGCTAATACACTGAGCTTTGACGATATGTAAGCCAAGCAGTGTCAATACTATATGATTTCCAGACCTCGAGCAGGCATCAATACCCTGTCAAAATTCCATCAAATGGCCCTGTTTAATTGACGTCGGTGTCGCTTAGAAACAAATGTTAAATTAACTATATTTTTGCCTTTTGCAAACCACAGGCAAGCTTGTTACCTACTTGTTAGGTCGGCTCAATTGATCATATTCTGTTGATAGAAAATGCTTGCCTCAAGGTACGTAGGGGAGAGTGGGGAAAGATGCCCAGGGTTTTACTATGTCATATATTATTCGAAAATGACGATCGGAAAGCAAAAACTTGGAGTTTCAACGGAAGCCGACATCATTTTTCTCCAAAAATATCACACTTTCGTGCCTGAAATATGATAACTTTTTTTGCTATTAAGCATTTTCCTGAAGAAGTGAAAGGGGGCATCTTACCCCACAGGGTGGGAAAGACGCCCCCTGGCGTTGGGGAAGATGCCCCCTGCACTATAAATGACATAAATGGGCACGTGAATCGCCTGAACGAATCAGTAGTCCCTTCGAGCCTGCAGTAGACACCAAACGTCATCGTAAGGGCCCTCAAAAGTAGTCGTAAGGGGCTTCAGAGGTCATCGTTAGGGCCATCATAGTCCAGCGTGGCCACACAAGCCTCCGTGGTGGCGTTCGGAGACCACTGTGGGGCCCTTATAGGTCTTCATGATGCTTGAGGGCCCTCGAGCCCATCGTGGGGACCTCAGATGCCAGCGCGGCCCGTGGAGCCAACGTGGGAGCCCTCAAAGGATGTCGTGAGGGGTCCTGGAGCCAATAATGGGGCCCACAGAGGCCGTCGTGAGGGCTCTCAGAGTCAGATGCCGCCCAAAAAGTCGCTGTGTGGGCCGAGCGACCGGCATGGGGAGCACCCGACCGTACTGGACTCTCAATAGTCCCAGATCGGCTTTTGTCTCTCATCACAAGTATGTAATAAATGATTTGACGGGCTGCTTGAAGGACAGCCTACGGATTTAGGGGGACGTCTTTCCCCATCAGGACAGGGGGCATCTTACCCCAAGGTACCGAAGTAACATTAAATCAGTACAATTTGTTAGCCATAAAACTACACCCTGAAACAAACTGTTTGGGACACAGTGCACGCATGTTGATGTATCACGACTATAGCAAGGGACGCAAATATTATCTACCTTCTTTGATATTTACAATGTTTTGACACCAAAATATTTTTTGAAAACAGCAAATAAAAAACATGCAATCACCAGCCAGCCGTTGCCCAACCGAGCTTCGCAAATTTTTGTGCAGTTAACAAGGCAGGCTTCCGCTTTACGCTAAGAACATTAATTTCTAGGTTCGATTCTTTGTTTCGCCGCTAGAGGGGGTGGGGCGTCTTTCCCACCCTGGGCATCTTACCCCACTCTCCCCTACAGATCAGTATAAATGCGTCACTGCTACCAGATTAGGGCAGACAATAATAGACATGTCAGATCATAATAGGTCATACTCTACAAAAATATACTAGTGCTGCGTGGGACAGGTCTTATGACCAATGAACATATGTATATTGGACACAGGACAAGTAATAGTACAGAACAAGAAGTCTACGAATATGCTCGTATGTCAATCATATGTAATTGCCCTTTTTAACAAATCGTAGACTACTTGCTCTGTAGGTACTTACCTACTCGTACCTACATTTCATGACCAGTCTCTGCTCCAAATTCGTTGGCAAGGACCTTTCGGTCATATTTGGACAGTTGCAACGGATTCCACGCCAACATGAGTTCAAGGTCGGGTCAGCAAGGTCAAACTTTAACCCGCGCCCCGCTGGGCTATTCAGCCATACGCGCCATGCTGGGGGGGGGGGGGCAGATTCTGCCCCCTGTCTAACTTCCGAACCGATGGTCGTAGAAAGACGGGGAAAACGGCAATCGAAAGCTCTCAACAAGGCGGATCTTAACAGCTCAATTTTTTTGCTTAAGTAGGCCAGAGGTCAGGTCAAGGTCAGGTCAAGGGTACAAAATGCAAGCTTCTACAGTATCGGCCTTGCACCGTAGTTGCCGAAGAATGGACTGAGACTGATTGCCCAAAACGTGTTCATAGACTACCAAGACAATATTCGTTGCATACAATGTCATTCAAAGGTCAAGGTCAAGGTCAGGTCAGTTCAGGTCAGGTCACCAAAAACAAAATATAGAAAAGGGTATGTGCGACACATGTTTTATGGGTCATTTTACTCATAGAATTCAATAGGCACACTCAGTAAGTGATATGGACCACCTCTGGATGAATTTCAGGTCGAGGTCAGGTCAAGGTCAGGGATTAAGTGAGGTCAAATTTTGAAGTTGGTTGTTAAGGCCTAAAAAGGTGTCTCTCTGATGCAGTTTTTTACGACAAATCGAATGGTGCTATTTTTATTTCCGTACGAAATCTAGAACTTCCAATAAAATCATTTTTAGAAATTTTTGTGTGTCGTGACGTCATAAAATTTTGAATAACTCCCATATTTTTGAACTGATTCTTCTAAAAATTGGTATGTAGGTGCACATAGACCACTTCTCTGACATATATTCCGGTTTTTTCGATAAACTCAAAATTTTGGATTTTATAATTATTTTCCCCCAAAAGTCAGTTTTTTGAAAAAATTGGGTCAAAATCCAAAATATTCAGAAAACCGAGAGAGCCATTTGATAGACAAAGTAGAATCACGTATAACCTTTTTGTTACGTCTTGATTCCTTTAAAAAATGAAGATGTTAGCGGCGTTTGAAATTTTGCCGTTTTTTTAGGTGAAAATGGCGAACATGACGTCACTAAAACGTCAATTTCTCAAACATTTTCTGACGGATTTCGCTCAATTTTTCAGTGAACGTGTCCAATTGATGTATAATAAGGTACTGAAAGTTTGACGTCGCTGGCGTAACGCGTTTAGATGTTATTGGCAAAAAACGGGAGGGAAGCAGATTCTGCCCCCCCCCCCCCCCCAGCGGGGCGCGGGTTAAAGCTGTTCTGCTATGCTGTGAAAGGTGTGTATGGTTTAGATATGTAGGCATGTCAACTGCTTAGATATATCGATCGAAACTAGTCCCAGGGAATCCAATTGGTGGGCTTGGTCTTCGAGACACGATACAGACTCTCGCTTTCGCGCGAGAGCTGCATTCCTGCCTGCTGCCAGTGTGGTCACGTGATCGCCACTCCGGAGTTTAGGCTGTCAGAGGTCGGCATTCGTATCGTTTTGTTTGCCCGTGACGGCGGACTCCATTAGGTTTCTGTTTTGGCGCAGAGGCAGTGGTAGCCAGTGTCACAAAACACGTCAGACTTTACAGACTTACACGTTTGGCACACAGGAGCGTGCCAAACTTCGACATTTACCTAATGGACGTGTCAGTTGCAGCCGCAATTTTAATTTTCTGGTAAGTTAGGTATGTTTTGACGCGCATTGGTTTAGTGGCGAGTTGGGTGTTTAAAATGTTTATCATAAAAGCATGTGACATAAAGTGCCAGCCGATTCCTTCTTTACGTCGTTTGTCACGCTGGTAATTAGAATATTTTCACATGTTGTGCTTTGGTCCTGATATTACGCTATTATGCTCATTACATACCAACGCATTCCGGCCCTGGCATTTTTGTTTCCGCTCTCCCACTATGCACGTAACGTTACGTCCTTCCGGACTGCCCCCTCCCTTAGGGGATGATTCGAGTTGCCAGATGCCTGGCACACCGGTCCGCTGACCGGATGTGGACCGCGCCAAGGTGTGAGATAGAGTCCCCAGAGGTCAGATGCCTCGGGCGGTCAATGTCAGGCAGCAATGTCGCCTGGCGGTGCGCCTGGCGGTGCGCCCGGAGAGAGCTGAGAGAGAGCAGAGAGAGCGGGAGAGGGGAGAGGATAAGTGCGGTTACAGTGCTAGTGTGAGGAGTGGCGGAGTGGTGTGGTGGTGTGACCCGTGTCGCCAGACGGGACAGTTAGGTCAGTCGTGTCAGGTCAGGTCGGGTGACATACTCGGTGATCAGCGGAGACGAGATCATCGGTGGACAGGTCAGGTAGTGTGACAGGATCTCGTGGCCTGATCGCATCGATACTATGACGCATAAGATCATATGGGACCCGCTTTGATCTGACTGGAGCACTCACAAGTCGTACGACAACAAGCGAGGTGAAAATTGTGATCTGAAAACGGTCTTTGGTTGTATCAAGATCCAACAGTCGGGTCGAGATAGCCAGCTAATTCTGCAACAAGCTGCAAATCATGGTGGTCAAAGTGTACGTCTCTGAATACTCCGGCAATTTCGATGTAAGTAGTAAACTGGCACCTACATACCTCAACGGCCGTGCTCCGTTTTGTTTTTGCGCACTGCACTGTGCAGTGTGCACTGCATTGCACACCAATGACAAGTGCATTGTGCAGCTGCATCAAGAATATCAACCATGCATTTGCTGGTATACGTGCATTTGGCATGCGTGACGCCAACAGGAACGCAATTGTTATCGTTTTCTGTAGACGGTCTAAATAATGAGTATGGTGAGGTTCGCCTTGGCTGCACTAGTCATCTGGGCAACGGTCATTTATATTCAATGACGACTATGTACAGGCCACATTGCACGGTGCACCGCTAGTGAATCAATCTCTGCTAAAGTCACCTTTTGTTTTGCATGTTATGTGGTAAAATGATACACGTTTTGAATGTGTTATGCTGCAGGGCTTAATCTTGTGAAAATCGTTTTGCGATCAGGAATTGACAGCGAACGGCATTGTTCGGGCGTCGATTGTCAAAGCCATACACCATAAGCAAAAACTAGAGCACTCTCGTAAAAGCATCATACATTCATACAATCATGACGATGCGATTGACTGACTCTAATGGGCTCGTGGCAACCAGTATATTTTCATCATCTAATACTGGTGGCTTATGAGGAATATCTAGTGTGTAGTTCATCTCCTCTCATCTAACAACCGTTCCACTCAGCTCAACCAGTTCAGTTCCCTCCCCGCCGTCTCACGGCGCCACCCACACCACGCGTCTGCAGGTGAAGAAACATCAGCAGCGGGTGGAGACGGTGCTGCAGTCGGTGGGGGTGCGTCACCAGCTGGTGGACGTGTGTGCGCCGGAGCACCTCGAGCAGCGGCTCTTCATGCAGGAGACGGCGCGGCCGTTGCCCGGAGAGAGGCACCCACTGCCGCCGCAGATCTACAACGAACAGCACTACTGCGGCGTGAGTGGGTAGCGCTCTCAGTCTCCCCAGTCTGAATAGCACGGGAGTTTTGATAGGTCCATCTGAGCATGTGGCATATAAAGCGGGAGAAACGGCGCTGCGGTATTAAATGGGACATGGCTGCCCTGATTTTGTCCCGTTACTTTTTACCAATTGTATTCCGAGAGGGTTGGTATCACACCAAAATCTTATAAACACGGCCGGACTAATAACGGATGCCTTTTGCGATTCTGTTTCGGGCCGTTTCTGCTGTCTACCGACAGAGATTATATATGCTTCTGCTCAATGTGTTAATTCCAATTCGCATCGATTGGCTTACTGGAAGAATGTCTCTGCATAATCCAGCCAAAAACATTTGGTGTTTCCATTTTTGCTGTCGTGCAGGACTACTTTGACTTTGACTACGCCAACGAGACGGGTCAGCTGCTGCAGTTTCTACGGCTGGAGGAGGGCGACGTGCAACTTCCCGTGAGGGAACAACCTGCTTCAACGTCCCCTCAGGTAGGGAACGGGTGGTCGAATTGGGGGACAGAGGATGACACTTGTGGAAAAACACGTAAGAGAGCCGCCACTGCTCTATGCCTCAATCCCGAAGCGAGAGGAGTGGGATTCAAGGGTGCGGGACACACTGTTCGACTGCATACCTTCGCGAATATATTGTTTTACTTCAGTGCTCTTAGAATGCGGCCCATTCCCGTGCATAGATGCAGGAGCCTCCCAGCGCAGTCCAGGTCCTTTCAGTTCATTATTTGAGGAACAGAAACACCTGTCCCCGCCGCTGTGCTTTTGTTTATTACCGGCGACACGGCACTCCTCCTGGGAATGTACCGACTGCAGCAGCGGGCCAACTTCCTCCGCCGGAATGTGTCGGGGTGTTCACTGCCAGGGACAATAGCGGCACCGCGACACGAGGCCAAACACTGCAGCGGCAACTGCAGGGATGATTGGACGCGGAATAATGCCACTTATTTAACGTTGGTACCTAAATAAGAATGATAATTTAAAAAAGAACTATAAACTCTCGATGAATAATGATTTACGATTTGACCCTACATGCTCAAGAGAAAATGTTGATTTTTTTGCGAACATTTGTGATCATATAGTTAGTCTATAATTTGCTGCATCCAAAACGTTTGAACGTTGCCAATAGCCGCTGCTCTCATCATACCTATTGTTTTTGTCTAGCCGACTACTGCACCTCGACCAGCGTCTCCAAAGCCATCCTCTACTCCGGCGGAACGGCCGGGTCCGTCTCCCTCTCCCTCTCCGGAGCCGGAGACCAAGCCAAAGCCGCAGCCGGAGATGAAACCGGAGCCGCAGCCGCCGCGGGCTCTGCCGCAGGAACCCTGGCAGGCAAGAAATCTTCGACCAAAATGAATGAGTTTTTCGAAGGGCTTTTAATAAGTTGTGTATGACGTACTCGTCGGCACAAGTGTAGGTAGGTGCCATCATTTTATTTTGAATACTTCCTATCAAATAATTGTCGCCGAGTTGATGACACAAAAATGTGTTTTTCAGATCGACAAATCCCAAGGAGAATGTATGGACGTCGATAAGGAAGGTAAGTTTCTGCTAAATCTCTCGATCCTATGTAATGGCTGTGCTTTAACAAAGCCCTGTTCAGCAGCCATGGTCTCCAAAGCCACGAGGCATTACGATAGGTTCTGCTTTTGTACATCGCGTTTTTTTCTCACGTGCATCTTTTTGGTACGCTTTATTTTTTTCGTTTTCTTTTTTACTTTTTTAAAGTGTTAGCCAAATAATGCTCGTGCTCTGTTGCCTAATTAAACAGTTCCCTCTATCTTTTGATTCGAATTATGCAAAGCTATATATATTCAAAAGCTTTCCCGACAATTTAGTGAGTTCGTGGTCCTACGAGTAAGATTCATGACTTCACCAAGGTATACGTACGAGTAGTAGGTACCTATCACTTATCAGTATGGCCGATTTTTATGGCGGCAGCTCTTTTATGGCTGCTAGTTGCTTCAATGTTCTTCTCCCACCTGACAGCTCATTCATTCTGTGTTTTGATGTGCCTTTGCCACGTGTACATACTCGTATGTCTTTTCTACACGTGCAATGTACTTACGCCTCCGTTAAAAGCTTGCCTGTGTTTGTTAACCCTCGCCGGCCGAGGGGGGGGGGGGGGGGCGGGTGCCGCCCCCCCCCATAGGGTTTTTTCGCGATAGCTCCGAACACGCTGGCGATAGAGAGCTGAAACTTGGCATACCTGACCTTTGATCCAAGCCGCATCTTTTGACACTAACCGCATTTTTTAGTCAGGTCAGGTCACTGACCTATGACGTCATAAGTGAACCTCTGCACGGTCTTCAGATGTCGCAACTTCGCAACGCCCTCACTGCCAGAGGAGATGTCACAGGGAAATGAAACTTGCAGGATCTAGTATCCATTATGAGTCCCACAACTTGTATATCTCAGATTTTTCCTAAAGGTCATATGAGGTCAGGTCATTTTCGTGACCTCACCATTATAAGTCAATGGGGAAAAATGAAAACTGCTATTCTGGCGCCGGGAACGATCTCCAACTATCTCAAGCACACAGAATCGTGATTTGATGCACTCCTTGCAAGGTTAGATGCGTCACTTTTGCAATGTTGACCTTGCGTGACGTCATTTATGACGTCATCAAGGTCATATTAGATTTCGTCAATAACTCTTGATCAAATTGAGCTAGCGAGTCGGGAAAGCCACCAATGGACTCAGGAAGACCTGCCGAATCGAATGATATGCGACATGACCTCTTTCGACCAACTTCGCGACCTGGGGGTGCTGACCTGACCTTGACCTGAGGTCAACACCCCAAGTTGACCTGACCCGGACAAAAAGTATATCATTCGACGCGCCTGAGCGAGACGAACACGATGCTGCCAAAATCGGCGCTCTGCGGCCGTTTTTTGCGAAGTTATTCACCAAAAACTGAACCGTACCTTGGGGCACTTGACCTGACCTCAGAGGTCACCGGTTGACCTAGGACCTTAAAATCGGGTACCAATCTCTGCGTCTCGTAACGGCGCACACGCTCGTTTTTTCCGCGACGCGCTAGCTCCACCAGGGGCGAAACGGCGAGGGGGGGGTCGTACCCGCCCCCCCCCCCCCTCGGCCGGCGCGTATGTAGAAAACCAATATAGGTCCGGCGAGGGTTAATTGTTGCTTCTGTCTGTTTTTCTGGTCAGTTCATCACTAATGTTTTCCGCTATTTTCGAGATATGCCTGATCTATCGAGCAAACTCTCTTTTTGCAGTGCGTTTGTCCCAGTTTCACTGGCATGAGCGGATAGTCCGCTCGAGGACGGGCGGCGTTCAAAACCTCAGATACAGTAACGCCGCCATTTTGTGCCGTGATTTTGTGACGTCAACAGAAGCATGTCAAATTTTTACATAAATATACACAAACACCGCTAGCGACACGAAAGCTTCCGTATGTCGCAAACATATATATGATACAAACAAATATATGTATATCCAAATGTAGCCCAAAATATGAGTGCATCTGACTCCAAAACACAATGGCGTAGGTGACTAGCCCAGATATTCTGCTTCCCTTTTTGGGACACAATGACAGTACGCGCTCCGTGCCCGGCAGCCTGGCCGGGGGCGTTTTCTCGCAGGAGCAGTGGCAGTGGCGGCGGTGGTGCAGCAGGGAGCCGGTCCTCCAGCAACACAAACACATTGGTATCTTGTCCGGTAGCATTACAGACACGCATGACGTGTGCGATAGACGGTATACGGGGTATATCTTACAGATTGCACCACCTGTATTTACACGGGAGTTGGTCCCACGCTTTGGTAAATCAGTTGATCCGAATGAGGAGAGTGAGGGGAAGATCCTTACATTTGCCTGCATTACATTAGAAGTTAGAGTAGGGGAAGCCGGGGGAAGCCCGGACGCGGGGGAAGCCAGGCCACCCCGTTTCCGGCTAAATTATTCACAATAAAATGCTCAACTGTTTGTCCCTTCAGCGTGGCAGCTAAGGTAACGCCAGCAAAAAAGTTAAGTCTACCAAAAATTGCATATTGTTAAAGTTATAGAGCAAAAATGATATTTAAAGGGTTTTTAGCTAAAAAGTGAGATATGTTGCACTGTTAATGTTATACCATACAGTACTAATATTTATACGAATGTTTTGTAAGGACCGACGGACCGTTTAAGTGTTTGTAGTGAGGGGTGACGAGGCAGGCTGGCTTAAGTATGACATTTTTTCGAACATCGCTGTTCTAAAATAAAAATTAGCACATTGGGGTAACCCCGGGCGAGTGGCCAAGCTTACCCCCAACCGCGAGCAATGCCACTAAACCACTGTTTTCCATGAGATAATAGGTACTGAGCAGGTTTGGCTTACACCTAGATCAAAGATAAATTTCGAAAATAAACATGTTATCATAGACAAAGCCAGTCATGTCACTTAAGGTCAACTAGGGTCAAACTACGTTTTTGCAGATAACGCGACAGACAATGAAGCTAGAGCTTCAAAAATGGTGTCGTTGTGTTCTTCTTCATCAGCCGAGTCGAATGATATGCAATATGATGCATTAAGGTAAAAAGAAAAATAAATTTTAAGGAATTTTGAAATACACATTTTTTGTCAATTTTGCATCACGATTTTCATCGACCTGTACTGTATGTGTGGTAGACGCTAGCTAAAATACCAGTAGTGACATAAACTCTAAGATGTCCAGAGCTAATCAGTACCTTAATATTTCACTTTCCGTTAATATTTGGAAGACAGATAATGGTTTCATCAACCCGTTGTAAAGCGCTGGGGAGGTGGCCGGCGTTACCCCTATGCCGGGCTTACCCCAGAAAAATCAACACTTTTTTAAAACTCGATTTTCTCAACCTTATACTTGTTCCACGAAACCGAATTTTTGGGAAGACACGGCCAATGAACTTAGCTAGCTAACAGGATATCAACATTTTATACCACACGTATGGTATGTAATAAAAATGAAAAAGAGCTTACTATGCCGGGCTTCCCCCGGCTTCCCCTACATATTAGGTGTTGCGAGTACATAACATGTAGGTGCATAACCTTGCATTTGAAGTATTTAGTTGGTTCCAGTATTTAGATTGGTGCTTGAAGTGGAACTGTGCAGTTGCGCTGTGCGCATCTTGGAACTGGAACTTCATCGCGAGACGTTTCGTTCTGTGCCAAACAAAAACGAAAATAATGAAAATGTTTTAACGATTGACCTGGATGACCCGTAGGGAAGCCTCTAGCAGGGATGCCCTTGCATGACTGACCTCTCAACAGCTTTGCATATAGTTATATGAGCCCATAGGGATATAAACGGAAAACGTGAACGACTTCTACACACAGCGCATGCACATTGCACGTAGTACGTGGCACGAGCGCATGCAGATATGAAGATCGGGTTTTGGTGCCTATATGCCTAGATAATGACCGACACTGAGCAGCACAGATAAATTACAAGCATGGATACAATTGAAAATTCCATTCGCTAGCTATGGAATGTGGAATGTGGAATGTGTATGTGGTGCTTCTAGTTGCCAGTAGGTTAATATCCCATATCCCTTACCGGTCGATGAGAGCATGAGCCATAATAGGCTATATATTGCCCCTATAGGCTACATAAAATACAACATTCGTATTTTATGTGATTATCAAGGCTAAAGGATTCCGTGATTATGCAATATGTGTGTACTGGGTAAATGCTCCAGTTAATGTTACTTATAAACAGACATGTGCATGGATCCGAGTGATGGATCTATGATCCCAGTGGATCTCGAAGCAAAGTACAGGTTAGGATCTATGATCCCACCGGATCCGGCGTGAAAAATACATCTTGGATCTATGATCTCATATGATCTGACGATAAATTAAGAACATGGATCTATGATCTGAGTGGATCCCACCATACACTACACATTTGAAACCATGTTTTAAAGGGTTTCTATGCCAATAAGTGACACAAAACTCAGGATTATGATGTGCGATCACATAAAATCACTAAAACAGAACGTTTGTGAGTTGACACATGTGCTTTTTGGGATATATGTGTTGACAAAAAATAAGTGAGGATCTATGATCTCACTGGATCTCAAGCAAAAAATGAGACTCGGATCTGTGATCCCTATACGGATCTCTCGATAAATTACAGACCTGGATCTATGATCCCGCGGATCCGAGATCAGGATCCGTGGGATCAGATCCCAGATCCATTTTCTCGGATCCATGCACATGTCTGCTTATAAACGTATATCTTTAAATCTTATCAAATCTTCTCTTATTGCTTTTCTCAGCTCACAATCTTAGTGGCCTGTAATATAATCATACACATTCTATTTGACGTGTGCAAAGTTGATTTTAACTGATACTGATTAAAATCATTATAGCCACTTGCATCTATGCATGTGATTATGTTTGTGATTATGTAAACGATTTTATGTTTACTGTTCTTGTGATTTTATCTTGTACTCAATAACTATATACTCCTGCCGATTATAAATTTACCGTATTTATCACATTTTCTTACGTTTACTCTTATGTAGGTACTGTCATCTTGTGTATTGCTTGTGTGTAACTGACTTCGTCAGTAAAAGGGCGATGGGCCTGTTGGCGATCTAATAAATACAGAATACAGAATACAGAATGCATCTTGTTACCATCATCATCAGCATGATGTTGTATGACATCGCTGTCCTATTTCACAGCATAGCCGGGCGGCTCGAGATGATGTCGTCACGGGCGCCTTCCGCCGGCAGCCGTCCATGCTGCGTCCGTCGCTCCCGAGCCTCAACCCGAGAATCTCTGTCTCCCTGCGGCTGAAAATACGACGCTGAACGGGCCAGGGTCGATCCTGTGCAAGAAACTGATCGAGTCTAGATTGTCAAGTGCAAATTCGTGAAATAAATACTGCCTATACGAGAGTCATTTTTGGACTGACTTTATCAGCAAATAGGCATAAAACTGTGGGAAAATAAATCCTGGGCCCTAAAGCTAAAATCTACACTTGATACGAATATTATAAGTACCTATACCTCCACTTTTTTCTTTACCAAGACGCCTTTTGGATCGACAAACGAGCGAGCGCGAGTGCTAGCCCTGAACGTGCGGAAGCGTGAAGAGGTTGACCCAGTTGACTTGTGCGAGCCACTCTTCCAACCGGTCACTAAATGTGTGCCAAATCTTAGAGCAGTTGCCCAGCCCAGCCGTTTTTCCAGAGTGTAGCTCTGTAGTGTCATTCGATTGACATCGAAAGGTAAGATCTCATCAGCAGTTTGCCCCCTCTTGGAACGCCTCAGATCGTTAAAAACAAAAGACCGAAAAAGCTGTTGAAATTTATCCTTTGAACCTGCACAATGCACACTGCACATCATACAGCATACATATACGGATTTATAATTACGGGTGCTCTAAAACCGAAATTAGGTATACATATAGGTAATGCAGCAGCCCGCAGCCAAGCCGAGTGGTTTCTTCGATCCGCCTCTAGGTGTCGTGGTAGGCCACTGATAGGTGTCGCTGACGGAGCCGTAGTTTCACAAACTGCACTTCGATGGCCAGTCCATGGTGACTGGTCTGCACTGGCGGAGCTGGATGGGTGAAGTGTCCCAAATACCGCCCCCCCCCCCGCAGCGTTCAAAATTGATAAAAATTTGTGGTATTTCGAGAATGAAAAGAAAACTTAACATCTGTTATAAGCAATAGCGGCGGAACACCTTCAATTAAGGGGGGGGGGGGCTCTGCCGACTTCTGGTCCCATCCTTTCCATGCAACGCCCATAGGGCTAATGTTAAAATGCCAAAATCAAAGGGGGGGGGCACGGTGCCCCGGTGCCCTCCCCGTTCCGCCGCCTATGGTTATAAGTTATAACTTAGGTATAAGAAAAAGTTTGTTTCCAAGTGCACTGCAGGGCGCCAACAATCGACATCCGATAGGTTTTTGGAATTTTGAGAATTTTGGGTGATATGCCCCCCCCCCCCCCACAAGCGTCTAAGGCCGCCTCTCTGGATTTGCCAGACACCAGTGCCGGTCTGTCCAACAGTCCGGTGGCATGATCATAACCATTGACCATGGGCTAACGTATGCCTGTAACGCATGTTTACCGTAGGTATATATTTGCTGCGTGGTATAGGTGTGTCCGACAGTCCGTGTTAATTTTATCAGTGACGATATGTAGGTATATGGGCAATTCGGTTTTAGATAGTGCTGTTACTTTACGTTCTAACACACATTAATAAAAAATAATTGCCGGAAACCGTCAAGTGACCTTATGATGACCTTATATTGTAATTTGCAGGCATATGGTGATTTCATAGACCCAGTTTTAACCCGGCAGGCGGTGGGCCTCCCAGCCACCTTCCGCGTGGGGGTATTTTTTTGCCCCCCTCGTATCTCCGAAACTACTGGACGGATCCGGAAAATTCAAACGGCGTTCGATAGCCCTGTCAAATTTGTCGAAGGGAACCAAATTTCATTGACCTCGGGGTCACCGATGACGTCACAGGTCAGGTCAAAGATAAAATGTTTCACCGTTCACGGGGCTTCTAGGGAAAGCGCTATAACACCGAGTAAAACGCATTTTGTCGAAAATCAGCGATAAGGCGTCAGTTGTCTAGTACATATGTTGCTATTAGAGGTCACTGGTCATACCAGGTCAGGTCACAGGTCAGGTCACCAACGGTCACCAAGGGTCACCACATGAACCCAACTTTACTAAGGTTGTGCGATGCATGTTTTATGGCCAGTTTTTCATTTCCAGCTCAATGGTTTTGGTTATAAGACCATCAGGTACGGTTTAGGTCACTTTCCGGTGGAGGTCAGGTCAAGGTCAGGTAAAAAAAGGTCAAATTTCAAAGTTGATATTTTTGCATAAAATGGGTATGGGTTCGATGCAGCTTGTCACGGGGAGTCTAATGGTGGTCTTTGTTTTGCGATACGAGGTCTAGAATTGCTAAAAATTGATTTTGAAAATTTGACGTCATCAATTTTGAACAGTTTTTTCGCTATAACTTGGCCAAAAAAAGAGGTATTGATCACAAATTTGGTATGTAGATAGAAGGCGGTAGGGACTATCACATATGTTCCGGTTTTTCGAAATTCAATTTTGTTTTTGATTTTTCGGCTATTATATTCAAAAAATCTATTTTTTATTTTTGGGGGTCAAAATCCAAAAAATTCGAAAAAACCGAAAGAGCAGTTTTGTAGCCCTCATGATTCCACAACTTTTATGTCGGAACATTTTTCTGTATCTCTAAAGCTGTAGGCCTGACAGCTCTTCCCGCGAAACCTTTTTTTGAGTCGAAAATCGCAAAAATGACGTCACTCTGACGTCATTAGCGGCCAACCTATCATAGCCTTTGGAAAAAAATTTGGTCACCATATGTGCTAGCTACTCTCGGGAGGGTACTGAAAGTTTGGTGATGATCGGCGCAGCGGTTCTCGAAATATATCGAAAAAACTAAAGGGGGGGGGCAAAAAAATGCCCCCCCTCACCGCCTGGAAGGTTAAGTAACTACTTGCGAAACCCTGAACGAGGGGTCACCCCGTCCCGGCGCTGGCTTAAGAACGGCTGGATAGGATAAGTGGAATGTAATGTTCGGTGCTCCTTCGTCTTCCCTCACATTCACCAGACACAAGACAATCTTAGACCAAAGTCGGCGGCCAATCGTAGTTCTTACGTGTTCCTAAACATGTCAGACCGTACAGAGTCAATGATTCCTGTTCATTGTGCCATAAAGGCAGAGCGAAAAATGAACGAACACACTGAAAAAAATAGATAACTTTTTCCAGCCACAGAACATATCATTATAGCATAAGAATGATTGGATCACTCAGGGACGTATCACGTAGCCAACGTTTTGCAAGTGATAACGCGCTCTCTACTCCACTGCAGGAGCATTACCGTTCCGTTCCGTAATCCGTTCCTTTTTTACACTTAATGGGTTGATGGGCATTAGCAAGAGTCCTATATATTTATGAGACATGACTCAAGAGTAAAAAAAAAGGAAAAAAGGAAATAAGAAACACGACGCAAACCTTGACACGATGCATATTGATGAGGCAAGAGAAAAATGAAGAGCAACACTGCCCACTGCACAGTAGGGGAAGTTGGGGCAATGCCGGAGTTGGGGCAAAGCCGAAATTCGAGATATTTCTAAAACCGTACGACATGGATGCCACGTCTCAGTGATGCTCTGAAGCTTAACCCTATTCCTGGCGGGGGGCTCAGGAGCCCCCCTGAGGTTTTTTGGTTATTTCTCCCAAACGCGTTGGGCTAGGAAGCTCAAATTTTCTGACTTTTCCTAAAAGGCTTCTACGCAACATGTCTGAAAATTTTGAGTTGATCTGACCTCAGGTCAGGTCACCAGAGGCGGTTTGGTGACCCTACCTCAGAAAAGTTTGCAATCACGCCAGAGCTAGAGTTTTTGACCGATCAATTTCTTCTCTTCAGGCTTTAGTTAGGATACCAGTATGTGCAATTTGTATATCTCGGAATTTTGATATCGGTGACCTAAGGTCAGGTCAGTTTCGCGACCTCCCCATTATAAGTCAATGGGGGAAAAATCAACTCCCTGTTTTTACCACTAAAACGGGTCGGAATGGCCCCATATACCATACATGACTTCATATACAATCAACCTTCACTACCTTGAGGTCTGTTTTGCTGTTGGGCAGCCGTGAGGTCATGTGACGTCATCAAAGGTCACCAAAGGTTTTTGGCCAATAACTCCGTACAGAAACAAGATACAGACGCGTGGATGGTCTCATTGTGTTCAGCTCGTCAAGACGCATCGAATGATATACATGATGACCTCGAGGTCACGTGACCTGAGGTCAACCTTTGACCTTGACCTTTCGAGGTCAACATATATATCATTCGATGCGGATTGACGAGAGGATCACGATGATGCCCTTAGTTTGTTCCTATCTTGACTAATTCGAAAGTTATTCGAGAAAAACTCTCCATATCTAGCGCCGCCATTTTGACTTTTTCGACCCCTGTGACGTCATCTTTGACCTGACCTAAAAATGACCTTAGTAAAAATTGTAGACCTTGTCCATGCGTATCCGATGCCGTTTACCGCTTGTCGCTATCTTGCTTCGTTCTCGAGATCTCAGGGGGGGGGCCGAATCGGCCCCCCCCCCGCCAGTTTCTTGTCCCGGCGGAGCCCGCCAGGAATAGGGTTAAGTGACTACAATTATTGCATGTTTGTTACGAGTCGTCATTTGGAATACTTCGGCTGTGAGGGCGCCAAAAGCGTTTTCAAGGTACGTTTCCCTTGTACTACATGCGCCTTTGAAGCTGCATTTCTTACTCATTATGCTACCGTTTGTCTGGCCAATTCGGTCAAGTAATCTTCAGCATGTCTTTGCATAAGTGTGCTGCCTATTTGAAATTTATACAGCACGTTTAAAAGTTATGGGCCTGCAAATGAAAGTATGGCTGGCTGGGGTAATGCTGAAAACGTGCAATTACGCACGGTAAAGCACGCTACGTGGACTTAACTGCTGTAGAATAGCAACGCGTATTTTTAGTCAAACAAATTACACTTTCAGCCGGCACAACGGCCTGTTACCTATAAGGAATGATTTACCTGGCATTTTCTTATTATATCACACAATTATAACTTCCAGTGTGCACCAAGCGTCCTCAAGCTCTTAAAACGCGTGTCAGCTTTGATGAATTTTGGATAAAGTTTGAGATAAATTGGCAAAACATCAATGTCGGCATTCCTCGTAGATCATTTATCCCATTTTCGGCTTTCCCCGCAGTCTGGGGCAACGCCGAAAAAGTCAGTTCTTTGATATTTTTAGTTTTTGCGCTTAAAGGTAGTGTGCCACCTTTGAAAGATTTCCCATTTTATTTTTCCTAGGATAAGAAGCTTCTGTTTTTACCTAATATCGCAAAAAAAATCAAAAATGGGCCTGGAATAGTGCCTTTTTCGCCTAAAAGTTTATCGGTTTTTAGATATGTATAACAACTGTAGTGGGCTCACCTGCAAACAGGCGTCGGGCAACAATCGCGAATGCGGCGCACTTGTGACAATAAGCAAAGGTCATTATAGTGTTACGATACGACGTACGGGAATGAGTTATCAGCTGTCTAATCGTAGACAACACAATGTCGAGCCTTAAACTGTAAGCCCGTATTGGTATTGTTTCTTTTATTTGGCTGTCGAACATTATTTATGGTTTGAAATATGATTTTATGTAAAATAATTGATATGAAAAAGCCGTCTTATAAGTGATGACCCCATTTCACCACACGCAAGTGGCAGAAATGACAATGATCAGCTGACGCATTTTTCTTGGCCGAAGTCAGAGCGCGCGGCCCGACGCACCACGCGTATTTGGAAATTCCGACCTCGACGAGCATCAGAAGCCACCTAACAGGCGTGTTCGAAACCGCAGGAGATGATGATGAACGGGTTTATCGAAACTTGATTGGATGAGCATATCGGTAATAGCGATTTCAGTGTGTGCATTTATTGTTCATAGTGGTGTGAAATGTGGTTGGGGTACGACCGACAACCCGTCGGGGCGAATTTCGCACTGGGGTACTCAAAATTTGAAGAATTTAAGACGTTTCCATGAGTTTTGAAGGTATGGATAAGTTCTAAAAATCCGGTTCTCCTTATCTGGGCCATTAACTCCATACGGTCCAAGAAAGCTGGCACACTACCTTTAACGGTATGCGAATTCATCAAATGCGCCTGGTATGTTTGAAAGACAAAAGACTGGCCTCTCGAATGACGCCAACAAGAATAGCTTATCTTGTCTACCTTGCGTGCTACGGGCGTCAGAAAAAAAGTATTCGGCGTTCCCCCAACTTGCCCTAGGTAAACTTGAATGACTGCCCACGTTCGGGAGCTAGTGACGGTCGACGGCATGCTAGCTTGAAGGCATCATTTATGGGAATGCATCATGCCTTGTTGACACTGAAATAGATGCTGCACCCCCCCCCCCCATCCCCCACCCTCCCCCTCCCGAGCTGCGCTGTGCAAGCCCCCCATGTAGTACCGTCTCTACCGACGTGACCTCCCCCGCCGTTCGGCAATGGACTCGACCACGAGCGCTGGCTCAGACGCATGACCGACCGCCAGTCGGGCCGCGGGGCCGGCGGAGGTGGGCGTGTGTTGGGGTGACGGGCGGCCGGGTGGTGGGAAAAGAACCACGTGATGTGATCGGACTAAGGAGTTGAGGCGGATGTCGGACGGGAACGATGCCTGGGAGTTGATGTTTCTCTTGAGAGCTGAATGACAAGATAGTAGCCGTGTAAGGACTTGAAAATGCTGGAGGCGAAGTGACCTGGGTCATGACTGTGACCTTACGCTCAAAATCTTGACTTCTCGTGCCGATGTGATAGCTGAACAGTGTGAACAGTGACCTTGGCAAAGGTCAGTTGGCTGGCACGGGACATCAAACAAGCCCACAGAGGTCAAGTGGCGACCCGATCTGACCTGACCTGACCTGCCGTCATGGACGGCTCGCAGAGGTCAATCCACGTCCAGTGGACGCTGCTGCTGCCACTGCTGTTTTTCCTGCCTGCTCGGATGCTGGCTCAAGGTAAGAAGCGCTCGGTCGTACGTGGTAGCACGCAAGGTCGAAAGCCGAGACATCACAGACCGCCGGAGCAGCGGCACAACATTTGACTGTTTTCCGGCTGCTCGTGACCACATGGCGCATCAATCCGCGAACCTGGGTAGTTACAGCTCTTGGATTCTGGAAATACATACCTACACGCGTCAAAGTCAACCCGGTCAATCATTCATTCGAATCCTCCGCAACGCTCAGGATTCTGTCAAATACCACTCATCTCGTGATGAATTCCGATAATTTGTGATGTGCTCACCTTTAGCATTTGATTGCGACCATACGACCTTACTATCCAACATCTGTATTCAACTATGTTAGCAAACACCATTGTGTTAGTCATGTTCATAGCACCGTAAATGGACGTCCAATTTGTTTTGAGAAATGTCAAGTCTCGTGTTGACATCAGGAGGATCAGGTCATGGCCTTTTAGGTCAGTATATTGGTCGGTGGAGATCGTGCTGCACATTATTCGAATTCACAGCTCCTTTTAATCACATTGTTGCCATTTCCGACTCTTAGCGTCACTTTGATCGGAAGATCTCTAAGAAAAACGCTGATGAGCTCATATGACGTCATGCAGAGTGCAAGTTGCATCTTCAAAGTATCGGATCTTGCGAGTATGGGACTAAATCGTGATGTGGCTAACTTTTCCGTCGCTTAGTACTCCGCTCCTATCTTCCTAGTTCCTACATTTAAATGTGGTGGCCTATAATAACGAATGGCGAATTGCGAATGGTGTATGGCGCGAGTTGAATGGTGTGGTAGCGCTGTTGAAATTTTTCCCGATTATAAACTACAGTCGACACATGAAATTCATTTGCTAATTATTCAGGGGCACTCGAAGCAAGCAATAGGTACCTACATTAGTAACTAATGAAGAGCACACGATTCGCGTGATGTTTGCATTATCGCCTTGTGGCCCTATCAATGCAATGCCGGTAACGGCGGTAATCGGTAACCAAGTGACGATCAACATCGTTAGCGAAGTTTTACATGGATTAACGGTAGGACTCAGGTAGAGTTCTGCACGGCTGCAATTTTCCACAGCCTAGCCGCCCCACAGCCGTGGCTCCACAGCCACAGCCGCCCACAGCCGTGGCAAACTGTAGGCAGCCAGCCGTCAGCCGGCCGTGGATACTTTCAATGAAATGCAACCAAATAGTATATAAGTTGTTTTTAGTTGAAACATATAGCCAAAAGCACATTGCAATGATCTATAGATTCTCAAGCTCATGAAGCATCATAGGTTAAGTGGTTGTGTATCTGGCTTTAGGCCGAAGGCCTGAAGCCTGATGCGCAACACATGCCTACACAAGCCCTTGCAAGGGGTTAAAAAGATGGGAAGGTAGGTACCTATGTGCATCAACAGAAAACATAAACAACGAACCAGAATAGAAGCACTAGCAATGTAGACATCTAATGCCAAATCCTGAAGCATGGTTGTGGGACAGAGCAACAGACCCTGATGCTTTTCATTATAAATGTTAGGTATGGAAAATGAAACTGAAGTTGATGGACTGTCAAACAGTGATTGTCTAATCAAAATTCCTGCTTCTTACCTTGCATATTTTCTGGGGTGTGATATGCCAGGCTTGAAGCAGTCTTCTGAGCAAGTCTCAAACTAATTTGATATGCAAGGCATCAAAACACTATTGAGCATCCAAGAAAGAAAAACATTTATCTATTTTGATTTTTCCAAATAATGATCTTCGCTCAAATCCCCAAGGCCGTGCAAGCCACAATTGCCTCTTTCAATCAAAAGTTTTACTTGAGTTTTTAATGACGTCAATAGCAAAGAAGTGGCAATAAATTGCTTTGTGTCACTATAAACAGCCATAAAAATTATAATTAAGGAATAATAATACTATACAGTTAAAAACTTGCTCTAAAACAAAGATTAAGTATCAAGCTTTTACATTTTCAGAAGAAGACGTCATTTTATTAGTAAAGTCAACAGCTTGCGTAAGAAATATTGTGTTCAGGGTTTTCACCGTCATGTGAATTACGTGTTCAGGGTTTTCACCATCATGTGAATTAGGTAACCGTAAGTAAGGTTCATGCTCACTTATAATCTAATTCCATTGGCTTCGTTGATCAGCATTTTCTGTTAGCGGTCACTCACACACCAGTTAGAACATAAAGCGCCAGTTTTATATTATGTAATTGGACTTGCCGAAAATCCAGAAATACATCTAAGAGTTATTTTAGATAATATTTTATGAAGCCTTTACCTGCCTTTACCTAGGCGTGATTTCTTTTTCTATTACCTGAAAGAATTATTGAACGCAAGTCTTCAATAGCTGTAAGGTGCTCTCCTAATGACCAGGTGATGAGGTGGGATTGATTTGAGAGGGCTGTGACAATGTAATATATTGCATTTTCTGAAACTGTCAAGTTCTTGATGATGAAGGAACAATTGGTACCTATAATTACTATTCTATACCAAAGTGCAAACTCCCCTAGACAAATGGTAAAAACATTACAGGTTTTCAAAGGCTTCACCACTTTCAATGCTGCTGGGCATCCTTTGCATGATTTTTACAGGCTAGACTGCTTATCAGAATGTAAGATTAAGGATTTAAAGTTTTATATTTGAGTACTTAAGATTGAGCTTGAAATCTCACAGCCGTGGCCACAGCCGTAGCCGTGTTCTTGGAGACATTTGCAGCCGCCCCGGCCCACAGCCGTGGGGCTGCAGCCAGCCGCGGCTGCAGCCGGCCGGTGCAGACCTCTAGACTCAGGTGTCTGTCATTCCTTCCGCTTTTTCTCAGAACGTCGATAGGCGTTATCACTAGTGTATTCGCGGCCATTGGGGCGACGTAAGAAAAGAGGAAAACAACTGGCCCCAAGAACTTTAAATTATCAGTTAGCATGCATCTTTTCCTTGATATGTAGATAATTTACCATTAATTGTTAGAGAAAATTGCATATAAAATCTTCCATTTATGCTTTTTTCATCGTTTGCATAATATGCTCTTTTACTAAGCTAGAAACACTAATTAGAAATAGTTCCCGCATCTCGTCAAGAACAATAGGAAAGGCTTGAAGTGAATAGAATAATCTAAATGGTTTTGTAATCTATGTGAAGACACTTCTAAAATTGCCTGTAGAAATATTGAAGGCAAAAGTTCAACTTTTTCACAAGACGGATGTCTATAAACCTATTCAACGTGTGACAACTCAGCCGGTATTTCGTCGCCTACAGCCAAGCTTTCCCTAGTGACCGATAGAGGCGCTGCTATCGATGTCCGCCCGTGCCGCCTAACGTAGGTTGTAGGTTTTAAGGTGATAATTAATCGTTCATCTCGTATACTTATTTTGTTTTGGGATCTAGATGAATTATTTCTCCAACTTTATGTAGGTACCTACGTCTCATATCAATAAAGTTCACCTGTAAGGTCACCGATCACGTGATCACTCTCATGGTCACTGCGGCTGGCCGTGTCTCCATCAGATCTCTATCTAACCTCTACCCCACCCATTTCGGACCACGAGCGGGTCACCTATGATAAATCAGAGCGACGCGGAGCTCTGGAGCGAACGGGCGGCCGTGGCGGCGGTTCCTGGGCCCCCGAAGGTCGACAGCGACCCCCGGGCCTCACAGGACGGCGGCCTTCAGCCCGAGTCGGCGGCCAGGAGCCGGGGTAGGTTGTGGTAGGGCTGTCCAGCCGCGGGTAGGCTGCTGTAGGGCCGCCCATGGCTGCCAAAGCTTGTGGTAGGGGCGGGGCACCCACTGCCCAGCCTCCGCTGCAGTCAAGGCCCGCTGCAGTCAGCGATAGGGCCGTCCAGCTGGCATTAGGACTGCCGTCTCTCCGCTTCTTGCGGCTATCGGTAGCATGATATGGGTGATAAATGTAAAGGATTTCCATGACAACCCCTATTGCTAGATTTCAAGCGTGAAATGCCTGTGAACGCCGCCAAACATGCAGTGAGATATGTCTTCTGAAATTATTAAATGCGCCGTGATCAGTGCTCACTGCTCACCCGGCCTTCGGTGATATAGGTACCTTTTTCCTTTATACTTTTTAGATACCTACATTAAATCTTTGCGACGTTTTGGTCATTCACGACAAAGAAGCGCATCTATCACAGCCCTTCGCCGTTGTCCCACCAGAGAGGAGCGCATGTCGCGTGGGCTCCGTTGGTGGTCCAGTGCACAAGGAGTGACATTGAAGTGGTTTTGTGACGCCCGGCCGACTGTGAAGGCTTTGAGATGTGATTAGACGCAGCTCAGGTCACAATCACACCGGGCGGAGAAAGCCTGAACACCGACTCTAAGGCCCTTAACACCATCACTAATGCCCTAAGTCCGTGGCACGGTAAAATCGCGATTATCTCCCAAAATGACTTGTGATCCTCGTCTTTATGCTTACGCTAAAACAATCAACGGAGGCTTCTGAAAATAGGAGTTGACCACTGAATCGCGGTTACGGCAATGTGAATGAAGGCTTGGCCTATACATAAAAAGCACGAAAGTGTGAGCCACGCAGTGCAGTCCGCGAAGTCGAGACCTGTATCACCAGGATAACACAAACCGCAATATTTAAGTGCTTGGATCTTATAGGCGTTCGCCACAAAAACCATGAGCAGCTGCATGTGTACCCGGACTCGGCAGTATAGCACTATGCAGCCCAGAAATATCTTCGTCCACACAAAATAGCGCCACGCACCCAAGCACTTCACTTCACCTTGCCACCTACATATAGGCATCATTCTTTCATTGACAACCCTACACACATACATTACATATATAGACGGCTGAGTTTCGCCGCCCGCATCCGTCCGCGGGAGGAGGCCGTCGGCCGTCTCCTAGCAACTGTTGCTAGGGCAACGCCGCCCCGCTTCCCGCTTGGGCCGCGACAGCTGACCGGAGACCAGAAGAGAGAGTCGGCAGAGCAGGGGCCGGCCGGACTTGTGCCCGCTTGATGCGTGGCGAGACAGTGAAGATCGAGCTAGCCTGCTTGCTGGCT